TGTTTGCGATTCTCACAAACAAATTAGATGCCACTGCCTCAAGACATTAATGTCGTTGTTGGAGCCCAGTAAGCCAAACTATGCATGCCAAATCCATAGGTCATGAGATGTCATTGCCTCAAGAATAATAGTTGGGGATCCACCATGTCCAGAGTATTGTCCTACCCAAGCTATTGGGCAATTTTTCCAAGACCAATGCATACAATCAAGGCTCCTAAGCATCCCTGGGAAGCCCTGTTCTTCACCATTTTTTAACAAACTTGCAATGTCATTGGAATTAGGTGATCTAAGGTATTTTTTTCCCAAATATCTCAACAATTCCTGACAAAACTTTTCAATACATAGAATGGCAGTAGACTCACCAATTCGTATATATTCATCCGTAGAATCGGCCGCCGTTCCATATGCCAACATTCAAAATGCACTTGTTACTTTTTTTAAAATAGACAATCCAAGTCTACCAAGACCATCCTTCTTCTGCACAAAGAAATCGTCGTGAGCTTTCACGGCATCAACAATTTGTAAATATAAACTTCTACGCATTCGAAATCTCCTGCAAAATAAATTTTCCTCATAGGTGGGGTTCTCTGAGAAGTAGTCATTCCATAATTGAGCATGACCTTCTTCCCTTTTACGATCTCTCACTATATGTCCATGAACTGAACCTTTACGTACCAATTGATCATTTTCTTCAAGATATTGAGCTATGATGATGTTGTTGGAGGCATATAAATAAAGTAATACATTTTCTTCCTCTTCCCATGCTGCCATTTCTTTTTCATAATCAGGGAATGGTGGTAAATAAATATGCTTTGCATCCATTTCTTCATGAATATACTCGGCATCCATTTTTGTTTTAGAAAGCTCTACAGTCATTTTCTTTGATGTATGAGGGTTTGGTTTTTCTATAAAATCATAGATGGAAACGAAAATAGATGGAGGGAAAATTAATGGAGGGAAAATTGATGGTTAATTTTGGAGGGAAATATTTAGAGAAGAAAATGAAGGTTTGTGGTTGGAGTTTGAATGAATAGTGATAAACTCTATATTTACTTTTTGAATAAAAAAAAATTATTTTCATCCTCTTGGTGAGAGGATTAGGTTGGAGATGCTCTAAGACCCTTATCTCCTTAGATTTGTTCAAAAGCCTCAGATTGAAAAATAGAGGTCATTTCGCATGGCTTCCTCGTCTCGCACTCTCACGTTTAACACCACATCCAGTATAATCTCGCCAGTGTTCCCTTCGGATCTCACCTCGCCTCACTCAACCACTACGCCGGATCTTCAATCCTCACTTCCGAGGCTGATCCCTCCCGTACTGTTATCGTGATTCCTATTCGTGAAGTGAACATCAATCTCATTTGAGGTACATATACTTTTCTCTTTTCAATTTGAAGATTTACGCATTAAAGGTTGGGAATTGTATTTGTTACGTATTTGAAGTACTCATTCAGTTTTCAATTGATAGCTAATGGAATCGTTTTTTAAGTTTAAAGTTTGAATAAGCTTTTGATTTTCATTGATACCATGATTTTTTTTTTTTATCAGCAAAAGAAAACTTTGTTAATGATAATCAAATTACAAGGCAAGTGACATACATCAATAAAGGGGATTGATTAGTTTGCTTTGATGCTTTTTAATCCAATAAATTGTTGATCTCTTCACTATTAATTCTTCAAATCAAACAAAGCCGGTATGTTCTACGTGTTAGGTGTGGTAGATAATCCCATAAATTATCATATAAACAATGCCACAATAATATTTTGAAACTGTTAATTAATTATTAATTATCCAGTTTTATAATAATCGGACTCGACAACAACCAGGTTGAGATGGTTACTATTACATAATATAGTTTGCCAAATTTATAAATAATGGTTAGTTACTTTTTAGTCTCTAAGGGTGTGTTTGATTAATAGGATTAATAGTGAGAGAATTAACAATTCATGAGATTAGTATTAGTTATCCAGTTGAATTAGTGAGATACATAATTCTTTCTTATCTATGTTTATTTTGTAATTAATATGGAAATATATATAATCTCAATTATGTGTATGTTTCACGTTATTAGTTGTAGGCTTAAAAAAAATCATCAATTTTGTTAAATATAATGACCATTGAAATATAATCCAAATAACGGAATGCGAGTCGAACGGACTAATAATCTCAATCTTAAGTTAGAATTTGGCCAATCAAGTAGGGGTGAGTATGGGCCAATTTAGATCAGTTTGGGATGAAACCAGGACCAATCTATTGTCTATAGTTCCATAAAAATTGGAATCAAACCAAACCATTAAATTCATAGAACCAATTCGAACCAAACTATTTAAACATGTTTTGGTTCGGTTTGGAACCATGGTTTCACATAATCTGTTTACAAGAAAAATCATATAACATTTTGAAAAAAATTCAATCTTTCATAAATTTTAAAAATAATAATAACAAACCCATCAAACAAACTACTCTCATAAAATTCACTAATAAACAAAAATTTAACATTAAGCAAACATTGTTCAATATTAATCTGTCATTATTTTTCGAAACATAAACTTTCAAAACATAACATGTACATTATTCCACTATTAACTTAAACAAACATAATATCTGGTTGGCACACAATGTGTGTAACTTGAAAAAAAATAACATTATTCTTTTTTTTTTTTTTTTATATCAACAAAAGAAACCTTTATTAATGAAATAATCGTACAAGATACTAATTGTACGAGCTTTTATTATTAAACCGAAGGTCATGGGGTGAGGCCCGTCCTTCTCTTTGCATACTTTTTACAAAAACTCCAAATATAGGGGTATTTTGAGAAAGAAAATTGTGAGACAAAATTGTCAATACCACCAACAACCCTCACTTTATATATTAAAATAGATAGATATATATTACAATGAAAAATTATCGCCAAGAAAATTATTAATGAAAAAATTATTGACGAAGATCTCATTTATCACTGAAAATAGGCTTTGGTTGACAAATTATTTTTTCGTCATTACAAAAATTACATTTTATCATAATAATGTAAATATTCTTTCCCAGAGATGTTGGCTTTTACATTTTTTTATTTAATTTTTTGATGATGTGTATTTATGGTTTTCAAGCTTTACCCCAAGTTGAGACAGAAAGATAGACAAAATTAAGTTGGGAGATCAATTCAAAACACTTTTCAATATTGTAAGGGTAAATAATATTTAGTGCCTTTGCACTTTCACCAAAATTTCAATTTGGTACCTTCAGTTTTAATTGTAACAATCAACCCCCTATACTTTTGATCAAATTGCAATCTTACCCTTTTATTTACAACTTGCAATTCAAAAGGGCCAGCTTACTCTATCAATGATATTATATACAACCTGCAACAATTAACTTCGTGTAGAAATGGTGTTGGGTGAATGAGCGACCAGAAATTGGAGCCTCATACCATGCTCTGGTGTTTGGTTTTTTTTGCTCTTCTATGTTTTCTTTTTCTGGTTTTGTTCTTGTCTTTGTTGGTTGGTTTCTCTCCAACTAGTGGGGTTGTGCCTTAGCAAGTGATAGGGCTCATTTTTCGGTGCCAACCTAGTTGGAATGGAATTGCTAGCTTTGATGCTTAGTGCTCTCTTCTCCTTTTGATCTTTGTGTAGTGTACTCTAAATTTTATCAATAAAGTTCTTTTTAGCTGTTCAAAAAAGAAGAAAAAAAAGATCTCACCCGCTTTATCCATTTATCGCTAATAAGCTAGTATAAATTAAAAGTTGAAGGATTAAAGTGAGATTTTGGTGAAAGTAAAGACTAAAGTGAGATTTTAATAAAAGTGTAAGAGTATTAACGAGACAACAAAAAAAAAAAAGAATGTGACATGGGTTTCAAATGACAAGTTCTATAAACTTCATTAACGACAAATAGATAGAAAGGTGATATTGCAACTTGATAAAAAATGTAGGGTTTGACTATTACCGGGGGCGACGCTAGCTTAGGGTTGATGCGGTTCCATCACCCGTCAACCTATCAAAAACTCTTAATAGAACAACTATTTAAATTATTAATATTTTATTTAATATGATTTAATCTTATTAAAATTAAGGGACCTCATTGTATAGTTTGACATCAATGAATGAATAATTTTTTAATTACATAAATACAAGAAAATGTGTTTGACATTATTAACAATGAAGTTATTATGCAATAGTTCTAAAAAATAAAACCTCATCAAAATGTAAGTGTAAAAGTTTATATTATTTGTTGTTCAGACAAATAGTACAATATTTTTGCAGTTTATTCTACTTAAATTTGAGAAATTTAGTCATAAAAAGTTTGAAAAGTTTAGGGCATCGTTTGGGGTTTGGTTTTTTTTAATAATTTTTTAATTTTTTGCTTGTTTTATAAGATGAAATGAGTCAAATGAATTTGGTAATGCCTTTTTTTAGTTGAATGAAAAAATGTGTTGACTGGTACTTATGACTTGCTTTTGTAGCAGTTTTTTAACTTTTTTGTTTTTTAACTTTTTTTAAATAATTAAAAAAAATTTAGCTTTTTTTAACCTAAAAGTCAAGTTTTCAAACAAGGGTTAAATGTTGGTTAGTGTAAATGTTTTTTTTTTTTCTAGTTTTTAGAATTTGTGGAACTTGAACATGCAAGGTGACCTTATCTCTACAAATTTTTGGAGATGCCACTTACTATTACAATTGAAAGTAAATGAATTAAAGTGAGATTTTGATAAAAATGTAAGGATGCTAAATGGAATTTAACCACATTGTAAGGAGAAAACTTCATTGTGCCTTCTAAATTATCATTCAAAAATTAATTGAACTCATGTTCTTTTAAAATATCAATTTTATACTTAATCTATTTGATTTTGAATCAATTTCACCCGCCGTCAGTTGTAGTTTATAATCAAATGGAAGTTGCTGACATAAACTTCATTTTGCCCCCAAATGAAGTTTAATATGACTCATACAACAAATATGATCAGATTTACACTCAATTCTTTTTCTTTTTTTCTTTTTCATTGTAGAATTCCGCAATATGAACAACTTAGAGAAGCTGGATTTGAGTTACAATTCAATAGAAGATATAAAAGGTATACAATAGTGATTTCGCAAAAGTTTTTAGAGGTTGTACTCTCATTTGCCAAGCTAAAAAAGATTTAAAGGCAATATACTTATAATATTATTTCACAGAACATGTTTTGTACAAAAATAATGTTTGTATATCATTATCCCAAATGAAGCTCTCCAAGTTTCTTAGTAAATAAACTAACTATTTTATTTTTTATCTTTTATTTTTTAATAAACGAGATGGACTTCATAACAATTTTGCGTTTCCTTTTAGTTTGTGAGGATGGTGGTGACTTGAAATGGAAATTGATTTTTGCAGGTTTTGAAAGACCATATGTGTTAGGCAAGCTGGAGCTACTTGATTTGAGCTACAATTCATTCAATAGTGGAATCGTACCATCTCTTTGTGTTCTCTTATCACTCAAGACTTTAAACTTACGGGGCATCAATTTGAATGGATCAATTGATATTGGAGGTAATTCTAATAATAAAACACTTCACATGTTCACAACGAGACAATCTTTCTAGCATCAAAATGAGTCGGTAACCACATGAACAAGTGCACAATATCCATGTGTTCCACCACTTACTAGGATTCGTAGACAATCCCTTTGAAGATTCCCTAGGTTGTTTATATATGTTCTTCATTGTTGTTTGTTATGACCAATGTTAGGAAAAATTATTAAATATTTTCGGAGATATTGTTTACGTGGTATTTTTGGCAAATAAACAAACGCAATACACACTGAATGAGTAATTTTTTATCTTTAATTGCCTAACAAAGATTAGTCAACATATTCCACTTGTAAAATTTTTTACTACATGATTGGTTTGAAACACCATGTAAGCAATGCTACATGTCTTAGACAAAATTGTGGGGAAAAAAAAAAAATTATTAGGTAGTGTCGGAGTACCATGTGACGTTTTCTATGTGGTGCTCCTGACAATGTGAAATCCCAAAATACACTAGGTGAGTCATTCCTTATCTTCCAATTATTTAACAAATATAGGTCAACATTGTCTCATTTGTAAAATTTTTAGTTATATCATTAGTTAGGAACACCACATGCACAAAGATCACGTGATATTCCTAAAATATTAAATAATTACCCAATTTCTTAATAGTCAAACTCAACAAAAAACCATAATAGGACCAACAGAGTAAGTCTTGATTGAGATTGAATTTATTACATAAAGGTATGTCTTGCTGAATTTATAAACCAATAGGGCTTTAGATTTACTCAATTTTCGTTTCTTTTTTAATATTTTTCTTTTCATTTTAGAATTCCATAATACGAGCAACTTAGAGGAGCTGGACTTGAGTGCAAATCACATAGACAGCATAAAAGGTAATGGTGAAGGTTTCAGGGGTTGTATTCTCTTTTTCCAAGTAGAAAAAGATTTAGGGAAAAATTCACTTTACCTCATTGTAGTTTGAGCTCGGAACATTTTACCCCTTTATAATTTAAATATAGACAGATAATTCCCTTGTGATTTTAGACTAAACCACACTACTAACTCTATTAACAAAAAAATAGAAAAAGACCACTATACTCACGTCCTTATCTTCCTCATCTTTCTTTGTTAATGGACGTAAATCACTATCACAGTTGCGTTCAACCCAACCACCACCATTAATTTTAATGAATAAAAAATAAGGATAATTACTATTCAATGTAAAGTTTTATAAATAATTTTAAATTAATTGTAAAATTTATGTACATCAATAATTAAAGTCTTAAATTTTTTTTATGAATTTATAATAATTTTGTAAAACTATCACTGAATTATAATTTTTCTTAAAAAATATACACAGAGTAATCTCATTTAAGAAAAAAAATAAAAAAAACTAAAAGTATATTATAAAAACTATACATATATACACCAATGATAATATATATCCAGTAATTGAAACTCTACATATAACTAACCCCAATAAGAGAGTTTTTTTAGGTTTGACGGTAGACGATGAAGATGAAAGGATGAATCGAGAAGTTGGGTAAAAATGACTTTTTGCATTTTGATTTTACTTTAGTTTCAACAAAAAAATATGCCCACTCTCAAATTTGGCAAGTGCATTACATCTTCTGTCAATTTTAACAGAAAAAGTAACTATTGCAATTTAGTCCAAAATTCAAGAGAGGGTAAGGTGTAACTATTGCAGTTTAGAGGGTAAAGTGCTCCAAATTCAAACCACATAGGAATAAAATGAATTTTGTCCAAAAATTTACAAGCAAGATCATATATTTACAATATTGTTTTTTTCACACAACAGGTTTGAAGAGTTTAAGCAAGCTAAAGATGTTGAACCTCCGACGGAATGAATTGAAAGGACTAGTTACTAGTAATGGTGAGAACTTAAGCTTACTTGGAATTGACATTAATTCACTTAAGTCCACAGTGCTTTACAAAATGAGCTCACAACGTTTTTTCAAGATTTTGTACAGAGTAGTATTATAAAAAAAAAATTATAAACATTTTATTCAAATTGACGTGGCTCCTATCATGTTAATTTATTCTCGTTTGCATTTTCATTATGTAATAACAGTAGGCTCTATTAGCTCTGTTATGTTAGGGAAAGGCTATAATACAAATGTTTTGTAACAAAACCACAATGATTCATAAATTTTCTCACCAAATAGTTCATAATTTCTTAATGTATATTACATAACCACAATAACTCATAATTTCTTAATGTATATAACATAACCACATTAGGTCGTAATGTAACCAAAATAATTCGTAATTAAGACTTTTATTACAGTGCACCCCTTCCTAACATAACCACAATAGTTTGTAACTAGGGTAAATTACAACAGTAGTCAATGTATTTTGATTCTTTTATCATTTTGATCCCTATAATTTTAATTGGCTCGATTTTGATACTGAATTTATAACTTTATCTCAATTTGATCCAACTCTTAACATTTTTTTTTATGAAAAATACGTACATAAGTGACATGTGTCATAATTTTAAGAGAAAACATATAAACTTACTTAAGTCAGTGAGTTAATCTCAACTAATTCAGTGATAATTTTTTGTCAAATTTGAGAGTCAAATTTGAGCCAATTAAGAGTGTAGGGACCAAAGTAACACAAGAGGCAAATGCACAAAATTTTCCCTTGTAGCTAATATTGCAAAATTTCAAATTTGGGGTATTGGGACATGATGCATCACCTTATCACAATGATCTGATATTTGAAGATTCTTTGTGACTTTCATGTAAGGTATCATCATATTTTCATGGCACATAATTTTTAATGAATAATTCTTTAGCTACATCTTTCAGGGTTGGATGGATTGAAACACTTACAGGAGTTGTATTTGGATTATTCATCCATTGACAAGATCTTTCTTCATAATGTTGGAGTAATGTCCTCCCTAAGGGTGCTGACATTGCGGAATATTAGCCTTAATGGAAGCCTACCTAACCAAGGTATTCACAATTTGATCATATTCCTTAGATTAATTGTGTTATGATTTGAATGTGCCTCTATGCAGATAAAACGTTTAAGCTAAGCACTACTTCTTTTATTTCACAGGTTGGTGTGAACTTTCTAACCTCCAAGAGTTGGATCTCAGTGAGAATGGTTTTAATGGAATGCTTCCCTCATGTTTGGAACACTTAACATCAATTCGAATATTGGACCTCTCTTTCAATCAGTTCACTGGAAATCTTACTTCATCTCCCCTTAGTAATCTCCCAACACTGGAATTTCTTAGCCTTTCATATAACCATTTCGAAATCTCAGTCTCATTTATTTCATTTTGCAACCATTCAAAGCTTAAGATATTTTTAGGTGACAACAACAGATTGAGTGATCAAATTGAGTTTCAAACACGAATTCCTAAGTTCCAATTGAAGGTTCTCAGTTTATCAAACTGTGGATCAAACAATCTTGGTATGAAATTTCCACATTTTCTCTTTTACCAATATGACCTCAGAATAGTTGATCTATCACACAACTCGTTCAGAACATTCCCGGTTTGGTTGTTAGAAAATAATACTCGATTGGAAGTTTTTGATCTAATAAATTGCTCCCTTATTGGGCCTTTTCTATTGCCATCGTATCGTAATCCCCATGTCAGTTCAATTGATATTTCTGACAATCATCTTAAGGGCCCAATTCCAACAAATATAGGTTCGATCTTTCCAAATTTGCAGAATTTAAAAACATCTAGAAACCTTATTCAAGGTCACATTCCTACTTCTTTAGGTGATATGCACTTTTTGGAGATTTTGGACTTATCTAACAATAATTTGTCTGGACAGATACCAAAGCATTTGACAATTGGTTGCCCCAATTTATTCTTCTTCAAACTATCAAACAATAATTTGTCTGGCCAAATATCTCTTTCGTTTGTAAATTTAACCATATTGACACACTTATATTTGGACAATAATCATTTCACAGGCAAATTTCCAGATAGTGTATCTATTCCCCCTTCTTTGGAAGCACTTGATATTAGCAACAACCACATGTATGGAAAGCTTCCAAGATGGATGGGGAACATGTCCAGTCTGATGGGAATTGCTATGTTCTCAAATCATTTTGAAGGTCCTATTCCAGTAGAGTTTTGCAAACTTAGTAATCTTCAGTTTCTAGACGTTTCAGATAATAACCTATCTGGTTCTGTACCGTCTTGCTTCAACCAATCGACAATAAAACATGTCCACTTGAACCGAAACCAGTTGAGCGGTCCAATGACGCATGCATTTTACAATAGTTCTTTTTTAGTGACATTAGATCTTAGCGATAACCACCTCAATGGTACTATTCCCAGTTGGATTGGAAGCCTTCATGTGTTGAGCATTTTTCTCTTAAAATTTAATAATTTTGAAGGTGAAATTCCAGTTCAATTATGCCAGTTGAAACAATTAAGCATATTGGACCTTTCTGAAAATAACTTTTCTGGTCCAATACCTCTTTGTTTTCGTGAAATACCTTTTGAGACAACCCATGAAAAATCTTCTCTAGAAATTGGACTTCCACGATATTTTACATTTGCATTGTGGAGCTTTGTTGAGGGGTCAAAGTCACTAGGAGACCATTATCCGATGGATATTGCACATAAAGATATTATCTTCCACTCTTTGGATGTCCAACAAAAAGTGGAGTTCACAACAAAGCATGGATCCTATGCATATAAAGGCAATATTTTGGACTACATGTCTGGAGTTGATCTCTCTTGTAACCACTTAACAGGGGAAATCCCTTTGGAAATGGGAAACTTGAGCAACATCCGTGATCTAAACTTGTCTCATAACAATTTATTCGGATCAATCCCATCAACATTCTCACAACTAAAGCAAATAGAAAGTTTGGATCTCTCTTACAATAGATTGAATGGAAAGATCCCTTCTCAATTGATTGAATTGGACAAGTTGGAAGTCTTTAGTGTGGCATACAACAACTTATCAGGTGCGACCCCAGACCAAAAAGCTCAGTTCGCAACTTTTGAAGAAAGTAGCTATGAGGGAAATCCCCTTCTCTGCGGATTTCCCTTGCAGACCAACTGTAATAAAACTGTACCAACATCAACAATGTCAAAAGGCTTGGATAGAGAGATTGAAGACGGTGGTTTCATAGATATGGAGGTTTTCTATGTCAGCTTTCTAGTCTCATATATTATTGTGTTGTTGGGGATTGCTGCAGTTTTGTTCATAAATCCTCATTGGCGACAAGCTTGGTTTCACCTTGTTGAAATGTGCATGACCTCTTGGTACTACTTCTTTTTGGACAATTTTATGAAGTTTTTTTGCAATAGAAGTATGTAATCTTCTTGATTCAGATGCAAGTTCTTGAATTTGAACCTGGGAAAATGAAATATATGTTAACTTTCGGGTCTGACCTATGTTACTAATTTTTTGTTTTTCTAGGAAAGTTTGTTTAAATAAGTTGCCCTATAATTGTGGGTTTTAACAAGATGTCTATCAACATAGATGTTGTAGTATTGTCATGCAATGAAACAAATTGGTGTACCTGATTGAAAATTCCAATTATGAAGTAGACTAGAATTTCAAGTGGAATGTTAACACTTCTACCAATAGAATTGAGATGTATGAACAACTCTTGGCGAAGGCTTTCTTTAATCTCATTTCGTGTATTTTGTTGCCACAAAACTGTTTCATGTCTCTCTAGAGCTTGTCACGTATTGTATTCTATGTTTTTATTTTATTTTTTTAGCGATTCTTGCATACTATATGTTGACAAGGCTTTCTTACTTAATTTTTACCTTCACAATACAAGCAATTACCTTTGTAAACATATCCCAAAAGTGAGTCTATAATGTACATTTAATTTTATTTTTTTTATTGACGAAATTTAATAGTTCGTTGTTGGATTAGCATATAAGGGGAGTTTAACTTATACTCACTCCTTGCAATCACTTAAGTTTTGTCTCTCATTCTATTCCTAAGAGTAAAATACGAGACTTTCCTAAAGAGAGATTTAGTAGTCAAACGGTTAGCCACATAAGCCAAAACCTCTTGGTTCAATTAATTTAGTGTTATGTGGGCTATATCTTAAATAAATGTAATCCATACATTTTATTTTGAGTTAATCACACCAAGACCCCCTAAACTAAAAGCGAATATCACTTTGATCCCTGTAGACGCGCCCGTGGGCCTCATGCTACAGTTCGGACTCGATTTTGTTGTCACGGTTCTTAATCTGAACCAAAGAGTCCAAATCCGACAAATCGTTTTGAGAAACAGATTTTTTTGAAAAGAAGTGCCAAACATGGACTGCTTTGCCAGATACAGAGTCGCCACCTAAATATCTTTGTTATGGGGGGAATTTAGGAAACCCTGACTCGGTGCCGAAGGCCACATGTCCGTCATCACCGGAGTTGTCTCGGCTCGGGAGCTTGGGTACGATCGGGGTAAGGTCAAGCTATGAGCACCCCCTTTCGCCCGGTCCGAAGACCGGCTCTACTAACCGTGATATCCGTTTTTGAAAATTTTATGTGTTCTCATTCTGGTTATTAGCCTAGAATTACTATGTTATGCGCACAGCAACAAGTATAGACCGAATCGCGCCAATTGGAAAAACTTTTTCATGTTTGTTTTGAAATGGTTTGCTACTCGCAAGTAGGCTAAAATGCAGATTTTGCCACCCTCAAGTGGGCTTTTAGAGAAGATGATTTTGCCACTATCTAGTGGCTTAAACTCACAGTTTTAATGCATTATTCCAATTTAGGTAATTCAACTCCATCCACAGGCATTCAGGCAGTTATATCACATAAGCGGCTAGCCGCATGGTAATCATACTGTCCATGGCAACACTCACACGCATGCGATATGCTAAGCATAAAAGCTTACCTAGTACTCCGAAGCCAAAACAGAAACTAGTCAGTAATCATATGCATGATCCTAGCTCATGTTAAAAATGGCTAATGCAACACAATGCAAAGATGCAATCTAAACAGGCTCGGCTATCCTAAAGATGGCATGTGAAATGCTGCAACTAACAAGTTCTCAACTTGGAATTGAAATACAAGTGCAGTTAGCATGATGTGTCGAGCCAGGTGCCATGTAGACAGATGAATAAATGCAAACATGCGAAGCATAAGTATGCTACTTGAAAATGTCCTAAAACTAACCGTCAAAACAGGTAAATAAAAAGGGAGAAAAAAATGGGGGTTGGAATACATGCACACATGCACCCACACTTATTACAAGTATGCCCTCACTCGGAGGGACCGAATAAATATTACAGTCTGAATAAATAACTAACTACTTAATTAATTATTACAGAATTCTTATTTAATCAATAAATTAAATGCAAAAGGAAGATGGCCACGGCCCCCGCCTCGGGATGCGCGAATGATGCATGCTTGACCCATATCGCCCGGAAACTCGCTGCCATAGCACTACTGCCTCTGTTTTCACTCCTTTTCTTCTCTGAAAACTTGTCAAAGTCCCAGAGAACCTTCTATGAGCATTGCAGAACATCATCGGCTGGGAGGGATGGCCACCGGCCGTGTACAATATCCATCGGCTGGAGATAAAGCTATCGGCACTGAATAAATGGCCGGTCGGCACTGAATGTTGTCGGTCGGCAGAAACTTCCTGCAGAAGACAGTTTTGACAGCAACAAAGGACAGACAGTGTATGGCATGAAATTCCAAGCAAATGTGTGCACCAACACATCCCTTATCATGCTTTTGACTCAAAGGGGGATGTTCCTTGATTCTCGGACCACCAATTGCGCATTTCGATGCGTGATGGTTCAAGAAACCAAGTATGCGCTTTGATTTCAAATGTCATGCAAACCAAACAAACACATAAAGCCCAAACTTTATCACATGATCAAGAGGCAAGGCATGCATGCCAATGCAATGCAACCTAGGTATGCAAACGAGAATACAAGCATGCTGTGCAACTACATGGCATACACAATGCTAACAACATAACATGCGCAACGCTTTGAAACATGGCATACACAATGCAAGATGGGCTTACACCAATACAAGTGGACCTCAGCCACACTCACATAGGAGGCCATAAGATGAAAATGGAGTGTCTCGAAATGCGTGCACACGGGCACGCAAACCGAGGTAATGGCATATTACACTAACATGAGAGAGCCTCAGCCACACTCACATAAGAGGCCGGTGGATGAAAATGATGTGCCTCGAAATGCGTGCACACGGGCATGCAAACCGAGGCAATGGCATACACAATGCAAATGACATGGAAAATGATATGCAAACATGCTAATGGGATTTCAGCACTGAAAATCAGGGGAAAACAGCCCCGAACTGAGGCGAAAACACACCCGATGCATGGAATCTCTCCCGAAATGTAAAATTAGGCACCCGAAATGGCCTATAGCTATACAAAGCATGCATAATTGGTACATGGAATGAAAAGACCGAAGAAAGACAGCCCCAAAATAAGCATTTTACCAGTACAAATCATGGCCAAACAGCAAGCAAAGATAGGGAAACAATGGCATGCAAAAATGGCCCTAAACATGAGGTTATGAAGCAACTCACAGCTGCTAACTCCAAACAGGTTAGGGCCCTTCAACAACATTGAAGAGGGGCCAAAAATATGCACATTTACAGAACTGTAAAAACCTCAAAAATAAACATAGATATGGCTAAGCTCTTATGCAAGAAAATGGGCCAAAAGGTAGCCAAAGAGGCAAGTGGTATATGAACAGCCCAAACTGAAAAATTCCCTTCTACAACATTGAAGAGGGACCAAAAATAAGCATATTTACAGAACTGTAAAAACCCCAAAACAGTATACAAACATGCTAGAAATGCAATGCAAAATGAGGCTCAAAAGGGGCTATAACATGAGGTATGCAAAGCATTCACCAAACGAGCAAAGACCCTTAATAAAACATGTTAAGAAGGTCAAAATAAGGCCATTTCTAGGCCTGTAAAAAGACCAAAAACAGAAGCATGATAGGCTGCCAAAGCATGCAAAAATGGGGACCAAAGAGAGGATATAACATGAAGTGGCACATGGAGGTCCCAAACAGTGTTGAGCCCTTCTTCAATGTTGAAGAGGGGCTAAAAATAAACCTATTTACAGTTTACATCATGCTCCAAAACAGATCACGTATAGGCCAAGAATAACATGCAAGATAATGGCATTTAAGAGGGGTAATGAAGCAAGTGCAAGCTACTGTCCTCAAACAGCAAGAGGTCCTCAATCAAACATGAAGAGGACCTCAAAATATGATGATTTACAGTTTTGGTCGAAGCCCAAAAATGCAAGAAACTATGGCTTAGATACGAAGCAAGAAAAGACTAGAAAAGGGAAGAGAGGGACTCACCCTTGAAGACCAGCAAACCAGCACCTCTTGGACCAAGTTTAGGTGCTCCTAAGCTCTGAAGAACAGCCTCAAGTTGCTGCAATGGAGTAAGGATGCCTTGTGCTATGAGTTGATGAAGAAATGGCCCAAGAACAAGGGTGTTTGATGGTTGAATGGGAGAGATATAGTGAGAGATGAAGGGATATATGTATGTATATATCAGATATATCTATATATCTCTGGTTTTTTGTTCAAAAAAATCCAACCTAGACAAAGGGAGAGGCATGGTGCTTATATAAGGCAAGACTAAGCTTCTAAGACAAGTTACAAAGGGTCAAAGGGGTCTAAGGGGAGGTCAAGGCTTATTGGAGAAGCTAGGACAGCTGGTAAGCTTCTTAAGGAAGCCAAGATAAAGGGGTCAAGGCTTCCTCAAGAAGCCTTGAGCAAAGGGTGCAAAAAGAGGGGTCCAAGGTGGTCCAAGGTGCAAAATAGCCACATGTATGCACGGGGAGTAGGGTCTGTGCATCCCAGCTGGCACAACTGGCATGCACCATGCTTGAGGGATGAAAAAGGGGCATATCGGCCATGAAAGGAGGTCATCGGCAAAATAAATGGCCGGTCGGCACAATATATTGCCGACCTGCAATTTATACTGGCCGGTCGGATAAATATAGTGCCGGTGGATAGCCGGTAAGGTCAAAAAACGGCCGGTTGGTGTCCAAATTGAAGCCCCGGAAGTTAGCTTTCCAATGGCGCAAACCTTGCATTAAAATTCCTCCTGTGGAAAAAGTTATGCCCATTTGGTGAAACCGCGCAGATTCGATCCAACCGGGATGATACCCAACTTCAACCAATCATATCTCCCCCACCCGGACTTGGCTTTAAGAGATTCTTGAGTGCAAAATGAAGCCCCGGAAGTAGGCTTTCCGACGGTGGTGGCCTCATAGCTAAACTCCAAGTGTACAGATAGATAAGCCCGATTCAGCGAGGGCTGCTCAACTCGCTTCTACCCGGATTCATGCCGAACTTCTCCCAAACTAGTTTTCTCCTCTCCTTTCCTCTCTTCTTCAACTCCAAACCCCTAAACAAAGTGTTTTGAAGGATTTGCCTCTCTCCTTGCCGAAGAAACTGAACATTTGCCCTGCACACCTTTCTCTGCCAAGCAAAACATCAGTGACGCCCAAGTCTTAAGGGCGGTCAAAAATGGGGTGTCTACAATCCCCTAATCTATGAACTCGTGCATTTTGACTCCCTCAACTACAAAAATGTATTACATTCACCCATTCCGGACCACTTCAAAATAGGTGTATTTATACTATTTTCATAGTTAAGAGGTCAATATATATAG